ATACATTTAAAGTATCAACTAAGGAACTATTTTAAGTATTTTATATGTGTTTGAAAGTTATGAAAAAATTTTTAAAAATAAAAAATCATGATCAACGATTTACACCGTAATCACATGTATCGGGAAAACCCAAGCATCAGCAGCTTTTAGTGCGTCTTTTAGTGCGTTGTTAATATTGCGAAATAAAATTAAAATTAATTTGTTCTAAATAATCACGCAAATGACGTCATAGCGCCAATAGCCTATTTCGCCAAAAATCTTAGGTTTCTTTAAATTTAATAACCGCGCGTGACAAAACTGATACTGTATTTCCCCCACTTAAAAGTAAAATAAATAAATTCAGTTGATTGCTTTTTAAATTGTTAATAAAACACCTTTAAAAAACTTTTAAGTATAATTCTAATAAGATAATGTCGTTTAAGTCAATCAGTGAAGCGTAACTCCATAGCTAAATAGCATTCACTAATCCAATTATAACTCATACAAATAAGAACGAACCATTTAAAGTGAAAAATATGTTAGTTTGGGGATTGAAAGGCGTGCAATCCGGTTGAAGATTTTCTAAATTTATTTAAATCTGGGTTGGAATAGGGTTGGTCACTGTGCCCCAGGCAGCGCAAGATACGTCTCAAAATAAAGGAATGAATTTTATAAATAATTAACCTACTTGGGTACATACATGTCGGAGGTAGGAAATAAGATGTGTAAAAATTTTACGTGGATGAGGACAGAGTTAACTCATATGGTATTGCATTTGTGAAAAAAATAAGATGTTACATTATCTTTTTACAAATATTGGTATATTCACTGTGCCCAATTCAATACAAGATACGTCCAAAATAAAGGAATAATTTGATTAATAATTAACCTTCTTGGGTACATACATATCGGAGACAGCTAAAAGGATGTGTACATTTTTACGTGGATGACAATATGTTAAAATCTTATGACTGGGTGGCCGAATGGTCTAAACTGAGCAAACCTCAAGTCCAGTCCAAGTTAAACAAAAACATCACCCCGAGTGGATGAGACTCGTTAACATTGGTCGGAAACTCGTCTGTATTCAAACCCGGAGTTGGAGTCCCGTAAGGCGCATACAATGACAATTCCTGCAACCGAACCCATCCCTGGTCGTGTTGACGTAGAGTCTTGCAACTGGATATGGTGGGCCCGGACGAAAGAGTGAGGTTGACGCCGCGCAACTCTTCCTCAGTTTAAACAAAGTCACCCGCGCAAGTCATCAGTCACCAGACGACTCGATGGTCCTCGTCGATCCTCGACGGACGAACAATAAAAAAATCTTATGGTATTACATTTGTGTAAAAAGAGATGTTAAATTCTCTTGTTACAAATAAACATATGTTTAACAATTAAGAAAACCAATGGCGTTAACAAATCGTGGGTACATTTGTATAAGTTTATCCATGAATCATTTTACAGACTTGAAAAATTAAATTTTGACAAATGGAGATGGGTTAATATTTTCTTTCTTTTTTAATAATGAAAACATGTTTATGTTGCAAAAAGTAAAGAGGTGAGTATTTTTATGAGATTAACAATGTAATTTTTTAAAGAGAAAGTAAAATCTAATAAACGCGTGAAAAAAAATTCCAAGATTCTTCTGAGATAAAAAAATTCTTTGTTTTACGATTTTCTGATCATAAATACTTTTTAAAGAAAGGAAAAAATTCGTTTAAATTTTGGATGAAGATATCAATGTATATCGATTTCCTTTAATACAAAATATGTTTATTTCATATATAGAGTTTTTGTTGTAAATTTAAGAATAGGTTTTTTAAAAATTTTGAAAGAAAAATGTTGTAATTCAAGGGTAGAAAAAGTGGTAAATCTCAAGTATTTCTCTAGCGTAGTAATTGTCCCTCAATTAACTTCTTAAGTGACAAAAGTGATATAATTAGTGATAGTTAAGACTGTGTAATTTAAGGTCATGTTTAGAGGGGGAAAAGTAGTTTAGGAGCGTGAAAAGGTGTAGGATACGCGTATTATATATAGCAGATAAACACTTCTCAAAACTTAATGATGTTAGAAACGTAAATATCATTACATTTTAAAAGTTATGTTTTGGGATGATTTTTTGCAATAGCAATTAGAAATTATCGCAAAGGACCTACCATTATTATCCCGATAACATCGGGTCATTTATTCTAGTTATAAAGAATAACCTACTCGAAGAAGAGCCCCGATTATGATGTCCAACAATACGTGCCGTACATAACGGAATACGTGCTTCTCAGCCAAGTGGTGATGGTAACGACATCTACTGTGTCGTTTCAATTTATTTTTCTTAATTTTTAAAACATTTATTGTGTACCGGTACAGCAAAATAGTCATACAAAGTACATAACAGTACCGCCACAATGTAGTGTGCATATATGATTTTCAATATCACGAGCTAAAAAAAATAATTCTTTTATAAACCTTTTGGAAATAATTGAAGCAAATATAAAGACAGCCATCACCAAAATCAGCATCGCTTCAATAAGTCTCTAGAGGCCAAGAACTGTTTAACGTAAATTCATTTCTGAAAAAAATGAGAAAATAAGAATGATATAAATGCATTGTGTTAAAATCGGTGTCGCTCTTGTTACTTTAAAATTAAAATTTAATTAAAATCCTGAATCTATTTATAGCCTTATTTAAAATCGTTAATATAACGCATTTTGTGTCTTTAAATTGATAGTTTACGTCTACTTAATGACGTTTGGTTTGTTCGATCCTCAACTGGAGTATGTAAACGCACTGGAAATCGATAAAAGAAACTGATTCACGTATACACATTGATATATCTAGGGTTGTTTCAATGTATCCTTGACGTCCTCTCACTGTGACGGGTGATTGTCACAGCGGACTCGAAATAAATGCAAAAGCTCTCGTTTGCTTCCTTCAGTATGAGCCGTCATGTGTATTTGGACAATATTTTTTGTTTAAAAATCAAGTTCCCCTTTTTAACAATTAAATATAAAAATTAATGAGTCCAGGAAATTAAAGAGAAATACCAGCAGTATAATGATAGACGAAATAGAAATTGGATTTGAATGCTTGAAATAAATAGGAGAGAAAATTAGAATGAGTAATTAAAAACGTATATATATATATATATATATATATATATATATATATATATATATATATATATATATACGCACACACATTTTAAAAAACTGTTTTTGAAATAAATAGGAGAGAAAATTAGAATGAGTAAATAAAAACGTATATATATATATATATATATATATATATATATATATATATATATATACATATATACGCACAAACATTTAAAAAAACTGTTTTCAAAGTCGATTCCAAGCTCTTTAAATATTAAAAAATAATTTTCTTCACATATCATCAATGTCATTATGTCAACCTATCGTGTTCCAACACAAATGTACATAGTTTGAAGAGTACTGTTGTCACTTTTTTTATTTTACTTCCATAGATCGGTTGTTGTAATGTTAGTATGTTCAAGTTGTGATGAGGAGTTTATCTACAGAAACTAACAATGGGATCAAAATTTGGGTTGCTAAAACATTTATGTCCATCAACATTATCACGTTGACATTGACGGTGCTTCATTACAATCCTTGAGGTAATATTAATGTATTCGCATGAATTTCTACCTAAGGCAAATTAGGCTCGACATATAAAACATATACAACAAAAGACTGCGAACAATTCTGGTGCGAGGACAAAAGAAATGTGAAAGAAACTAATTTTAAAAGGAAATTAGAAAAAATGGGAAACAACCCGTGTTTTTGTGTTGATTTGTTTTTTGTTTTGTTTTGTTTTGTAGTTTCATGGACCAAGGTAAGTGAAAATACTTTTAAAAAATCGAAATTTGTATTTCGACATTTTATTTTTAGCTAGTTTACAAAATTTGAAATGAAAAGTTATAAACATGAGCGATTTAACAGAGGTTGATAACATTGTGCTATTGGGGTATACAGATGTGCTTACATTTTGGTTTTATGGTATACAGATATGCTTACATGGTGGTTTTAGGGTATAGAGATATATTTACATGGTGGTTTTAGGGCATACAGATATATTTACATGGTGGTTTAGGTTGTAGAGATATGATTACACTGTGATATTAAGGTTTTCAGATATGCTTACATTGTGGTTTTAGGGTATACAGATATCCTTACATTTTGGTCTTTCCGAGAACGTGAGATCCACATTTCCGCTGAATTTAAGTTCGAGGGTCATGTTTGACCCATTCTGTGATTGGAGAGACACTTGACCACGGTATGGAAATGTACCATCAGAGCCCCTACGGGCGATTGTGCCCGCATTACCATCATCTCCTAAATATATAGAATTTTTTTTTTTTCAATCTTATCATTTTAGGTAAACTTTATTGACTTTTTTCATGATTAAGAATGATTATTAAAAATGATTTTCATTACATAGCATAAAATTGAATTACAATTAAAGAGACGCACTGTAGGCGTCATTATTTTGGTATGTGTGTTTGTAACTGAAACAATGACTGATCCCTTCATTTCTTCGAGAATACAAACGGAAACAAACACAATAAGCATTTTTAAAGATAATATCCGAATGTCTTTTTTGCATTTTTTAAAAAACAAAACATATGATAACTGTCGGTTGAAATGAGTAGGTGTTGTAGCAGTCAATTATCATCCCTACCCAACCACATTGAGATTGGACAAATTTTTACTTGTAAACATTTTTTTTTTTTGGTCAAAGTGTCCTCGTTTTATAGCCATTTACATTGCTTCTATTGTATAGTAGTTACTATCCTAGTGTCTCATTTTTATTTTACTTAGTTTACATGTTTTTAATAATTGTAAAGCGCTTAGAGCTTTATGGTAAGCGCTATATAAAAATGCCTAAATAAATAAATAAATATGATACTATCCCTTATATTGACAACACCTTTAATAGATCGTTTTCTTAGAAATGTTCTGTTATAAAAGATATTTTCTTAATTCACATGTCATACCATGTGCACCCAAAAATCGAAGTCGGCATTTGTCTTGCACTCCTAAACCTGAGACGCTGCTGACTGAGGAGTCGAAAACCTCACTGAAAATGCCGCCTGTTGGCCTGCTGGCTTGTCCACCTAGACACAAATCCTTGCCTCTGCTGTCTAGCTCTGTGATTCTACTCTGGCTTCCAAACAAAGACGTTCCGAATACAGCAGGACTCTCGAAACCAATTGGCAGCTAAATGGACATTTTTATTAAAGAAGTATTATTATAGTTAAAGTAGAAAAACACATTCTTGAACATAACATAAAACTAGAGTGCGTTTTTTGTGTAAAAAAAAGGGGGGGGGGATTGTTTTTTTTTTTTTTTTTTTTTTTTTTTTAGGCGTGGGGGGGGTGGCGTATGAGGAGATGTTTTCAAACTAGACTACTAGACTAAATATTTTTTTAACATTGAATTTGTTTCGCGTTACTATTAAACAATAGGTTATTGGTATTTAAAAGAATAATGTGTAAATAAACTATTTTTCGAGTGTCACAATGTAGGCCAAGCAAACAAGTTAATTAATAATGTACTCACCATTCTTCCATAGTTAGGTCTATTAATCTGTGTAGCCCCCATTATTGGTTTGTACTTTGCACCTGTGAGATTCAATTTTAGAACCAATAATTGATCGGTGCATTTTGTTTCGCTATCTTCAATACGAAAAAACAACGAAAAAGCAAATATAGTTTTCAACAACAACAACAAAAAAAAAAAGGCTGATTTTTTAAATTTTAATGAGGAATATTCATATACATTACCGACAACAGGCAGATGGCTCTTGTAATAAAAGCCACCAAAGGTTTGTTTAACACATTCCAAGTCAATTTGTCCAAAACGGTGTGTGGAACACGACCCAGAGAGCCATCTCACTGATATTTCACCGCCTTTTGCAACGTCCAGAACTTGACCGATTTCCCCACTGCCTCCTTGTAGAACATAACGATATGAACGTATTGTAGAGAAGCAGAGAAAAATAATAGGTCGCTGATATTTTTCGTATAAAAATTATTATTGATTTATTGATAATATCAAAGTGGTGCAGTAAGTTTCAGAAGCATATCTTGGGGGGGGGGGGGCATTGGGGATAGATGACCCTGGGCGCCTGACTAGTTAGGGCTGCTAAAATATGATTTGATATTACGTTACTGATGAAAAGAATGGGTCTGAGAGTTGAAAAAAATCAAGGGAGGCTTTTTAAAATTAATCTAGTCTCCAGGAGCCAAACACTCTAGCTACGCCTCTGGTAAGTTTACAATTAAAAAAAAATCAAAAACGCTGATGGGAAATAAAAACATGTATTATTGATTAAGTTATTTGTGTATTTAAATTTTTAATATTTTTTTCAAATTCATTAAGAATTTTTCAAATATGTATAAATCAATGTATACCTAAGTATTGTTAAAACACTTGCGAAATATAATGACGCAAATCTTTGATGGAAATCGTTATGCTTCAGTATTTGTTAGTTTCTAAATATTTGTGCAGTTTTTAAAAATTTCAAATGCCAAGCCCTGATCTGTAAGTCCGGTTAATGTGACCATATGCACAAAACCCATTACCACCTCTCGAGTCCTGTTGGCGGGAAACAACGGCGTCCCTGAAGATACCCGTAGCCCGCTTTTTGTCGTGTAAGAACATGCTATGATACCGAGCAGGAACAATCAGCCTGCAAAAAAAAAATGTTTTTAATAGATACTGATTTTTCTAAATCAATCTCAGTTCTATCTACTGAAATTAAAACTTGGTTTAATCAAATATAAAGACATTTTTCAATGTTAAGAAGTAGATCATAAATATTAATGATTTTATGATTTTTTTTTGGTGTGTAAACAACACATCCATTGACTACTGTATATACGGGTGTTTATAAAGCAATTTAATGTAATTTAAAACAAAAACAGAATAAAAACAATAGTTTGATTCACTACGTAAATACTATCAGTAGATTGAAATTGACAAAAATAAAGTAAGCAATTATCAGTTTCAACAATTGAGTTGATCTGCCATAAACATTTCTCTAATTAAAAAAAAAAAAAGAAGATTCTAAAAAAAAAAAATAGATTATATATATATATATATATATATATATATATATATATATATATATATATATATATGAAGTCTGAATTTTTATAATTATATTTATTGATTACTTTTTGCCAGTTGATTCATTAATTTTTTTAACCGTTATATATTTTAATTCATATATAACAATGCAGTTACACACAACTGGTTGCAGCCTTTAACGTCTAATTTGTTACTTTTATACAACTTAAATTGAATAATGGCAAACACGACTGGTATGATCTCTTTCATTCTGGTAGTCCTATTTGACTAGACAGACTTACCCAACTTGTGAATGGGGTTCAAATCTAAAGAATGTGTGGGAGGTATCATGTTTGTCAGACATGTAACAAGGCGAGCATAGGCTGTAACCAGGACAGACCGAACAACTCCACTTATAGCCAGCGAATCCTCTTTCTCTACAGTGTTCACAATTGTTCAAGTAATAGTACTCCCCTGATAAAGTGTTGGTTCAATAAAGCTATATCAATTTTAACATCTAACATTTTTTAAAAATAAATTATTATTTTATAAAATTAAGTTTTGTTTGTATGAGATCGCAGATCTCTAAATAAAAGTTGTCAGTAAAAAAAAAATTAAAAAATAAAAAATGAAACAAACAAAATATTAAATGTTATAGATCTATGTCATTACATAAAACATAAATCATTTTAAAAAAAATTAATACATGTTGTAATAGTTGTATGCTTCACTTAAATTATGGGATAAATATACAACTATCTGCAGTTCTAATATTAGTTTTTGTTTAAACTTGTGCAGATTACTTTTACTTGGATTCGGAAAAAAAACTTAGTATACAAAAATAGTTTTTTTCGTTTTTGAGCAAACAAAAAAATTACCAAACAATACTTCTACATGAATAGATGGATTAGATCAAACTCAGTACATATACACTTAAGTATCGATATGCAAATACCATATGGTAATGAACTCATAATTTTCATTCCTCTTTGGCCGGAGGTTCCCTTTCATTTTCCTCATATAAGCTTTATAAATATTAATGGACTTCGACAACGCTATAGCCTCTTTGCGAAATGATGGATCTAGGCCTAGACTTTTTGCAAAGCCCTCCATAGTCAACACTAAAATATTGGTGGATTTAAAACTAAGAATATCCAATCTAGAATTCTCCAGAAACGTCGCTAACTTAAACAAATATATATCTATTGTGGCAAGCGGTTAAGGAACCTTGGAGTTTAGTAGTTGAAGTTGAGCGGAATAAAGTTCTTTTATTGTAAGCCAGGGAAAATGAGTCAAATAAGGAGATTTGTGGAGGAGATCAGTTGTCCCGATAAATTTCAGGCAATCATAACTGAGTGTTGGGACGATGAGATGTTTGTAGCATTGAATGAGAGGTAATCATATAGATCACAGAGTAGAAGCACGGGAGACAGATTTTGTAAAGGTACAAGATATGATAGTGGATGACTCAAATGAGTATTTTGGTGCTAATATTGATTGTAAACCCAGTGGTATTGAATGTTCACATGGTGAATTGGGTATTGATATTGAGTGTGAGCCCAGTGGTATTGATTTTCACATAGTGTTATTGATGCTCCACCCATTAATGATGTAAAAGACATGAACTTTCATGATGTACAAGATATGAACTTTCATGATGTACAAGATATGAAATTTCATGATGTACAAGATATGAAATTTCATGATGTACAAGATATGAACTTTCATGATGTACAAGATATGAAATTTCATGATGTACAAGATATGAACTTTCATGATGTACAAGATATGAAATTTCATGATGTACAAGATATGAACTTTCATGATGTACAAGATATGAACTTTCATGATGTACAAGATATGAAATTTCATGATGTACAAGATATGAAATTTCATGATGTACAAGATATGAACTTTCATGATGTACAAGATATGAAATTTCATGATGTACAAGATATGAGTTTGGATTTATACAAGAGGGAAAAGTGAAGTGGAAAAAAATGTGGATTTTGTAACGTGTTCTGAGGGTGTTAAGACCTGGACAGATTACGGGTATCACGAAGTTGAGATCGTGAGTCTGCAAAGGGCAACCCTAAGGCGAGAACGAAAATTCAACAAGGTTGAATTCATAGAAAATAATCTCACGTGCAGCTTTGAGGGCATAGTCCAATCGTGTAATTTGGTAATTGTGGGGTGACACGAATTACTCAGGGCTTGAGAACCGTGGTCTTGTTGAGTCCATCGTAGACTCTGACAGTCGTGTTGGCGCAAACGGGTTCGGCCTCGACCGCGTGGTTAATGTGGAGGCGGTGAGCTTTGTCCCTGAAGTGACGCCAGGGGAGAGAATCGATGTTATTGTTGATATATTAAGTCATGTGGGGGTATACGGGAGAGGAATTTTGCTGTTTATGATCTCTTTAATGTAAATTGTGTATCATGTCACGAGAGCCGGGAGTGCTCAAGCTTAGAGCTTATTAAAAGTTTCGATTTTGTTGACGAGGTGAGGGATTTCCATGAGTTGGGAGGTGAAGCCTGGGATTTTTTCACTAAGTTATGTTTACCTTGAAATTGAAATCATGTGTACAGATTTTTGTTGTAATGTGTTACTCAAGTTACTTTTGGGGGCTGTCTGGCTGTTAAGATTTGGAAAAGGTGTTATGAACTTTTTGTAACAATGACGTTTGGTTGGGGGGGGGGGTAAAATGTTGATTTCGCCGCTATGAACTATATAAATAAAATGACCAACACATACTCTTACATAAACAGATGGATCTTGACTAAACTTAGTCCACATACCTTTTATTATCCAATTTCAAATACCAAAAGTTTCTGAACTATTAATATCTATTCCTTTAGATCCTGAGGCCCAATTTCCTTTATCATTATATAAACTATATAAATATCCATAATGTTCTATGTGAATTGATGGATATAGGCCTAACATGGTGGTTATACATATCATTTTCCGTATTGAAATATAGGTGGATTTAAGACTAAGAATATCCAATCTAACATTTTCCAGAACATTTATTTTTAAAAGCTATACCTATGGCATTTTTAAATAGATTTCAATGGGACAAATTTAAATTTCAACTCCATAACTTATCTGAATGATTTTTATAGCCCCCCCCTCCCCCACACCGATCTCAGGCAAAACTAATCTTATTCGGTGCAACTATGGAATGGGCCTCCAGCAAGGCCTCACTTTCAGCTTAAATGTGTTATAGCTAAAGAAGTGCAATTAGTTTATACTTTTTAGTGTTAGAAAATTAATTACTTAGAAAATTATTGTTTACACCTTTCTAGGAGGATATTAAATTTAACCTAGAATGTTTCTGAAATTTCTATATAGTTCTACGGCGTTATGTACCGGGATATAAAAGCTTAGAGTAACGTTAACGAGATCCAGCAATAAATTGAATCCATCGGTTTCGCGATCCAATCGGGTAAAGGGATAAGACCTGGATAAGGATTCTATCAGAAAATGGGGTCCAATCAAAAAAGAGGATCACACCGGGAAACGGGACCCTAATGGGATTGGTATCCCACCTGGAGCGATATACCATCAGGAGCTGACAGTATCGGAATCCCAATGGGATCGAGATACAATCGGGAACTGCATACCGACGGGATATGGATCCTATCAGGATCGGGATCCTATCGGGAAACTCCAACCTACCGGGATTGGGAACTCACCGGGATCGGAAAAAAAACGACGCGTTTGGTATTTCACGGGAATTCGGAGCCGGGGGGGGGGGATAGGGATCCCACTGGAAACGGAATACCATCGGGATCTGGATACCGACGAGATTGGGAGCCCACCAGGATCGGAATATCGACGGGATCGGGAACCCACCGGTATCGTGATCCCATCGGGTTCATGATTCAACCAGGATCGGGATCGGTTCCCTCCGGGATCGGCATTCTATCGGGAAGCAAAATGTCTACAAAAGTTATTATAATTGTATTTCAAATGGAGACAGATTTATTATAACCATTTTTACGTGGCCTTTTTGGGGGGGGGGGGGCGGTTACACTTTGTTAACATTTAATGTTAATTATAAGGCTGCAGAAGTTTCTTTCATCAAAATGCTATCCTACAAACTTACATACATAATTTATAAATTAAAAAAAAGTATCGTTCAAAGATCTATCATAAAACCAGAGTTCAACCCGTTTTGTTGGGGGGGGGGGCACAGTTCGGTGAGAAAATAATCATCTGGTTAAAACAGGCAAGACAAATGCTCACCTTGTTCTAGGTTATCGATTGCGCACAGGTCAAAGGCGTTCTCGAACCCAGATCTGTAGTAACCTTTCACGCCCGTGTCCCAGACTACTGAGACAGAATTGGAGGGGATTGTCGACCCACCATGTCCAGATATTTCCACAACAGTACCGACTAATCCATCTGCAATGTCCTCTCCGTATCTCCAGTCAGGTCCGCGGACGACGCGAAGTCCAAGTTTAACATTAGACGGTCCTGGTGGAAGACATCATTCAAGTGTCATGTTTACGTGATGTAGATTAACGTACCATTAAGTCAGTAACGATTATGATGTTAACAAAATGAATATATATTTATTTATTTATTCATTTATTTATTTAGGCAGTTTTATATAGCGCTTACCTTAAAGCTCTAGGCGCTTTACAATTATTAAAAACATGTAAACTAAGTAAAATAAAAATGAGACACTAGGATAGTAACTACTATACTATAGAAACAATTAAAATGGCTATAAAACGAGGACACTTTGGCACGTTTTGGCCTATACTACAGGATCAACCCAAGACAGAAAAACAGAATATATATTTATACAGCTATATAATCTCAAATTATAAGGAATTACTATTAAATTACTTATTAGACATTCTTACTTTGGTTTTTATCGCATTAAAATAAAGGATTAAGAGGAAATGGCAAAAAGAAAGGCTAAATTCAATTTGTAAATTGTCGACTTAAATTTGTAATTTTAAAAAAAAATGTTTGATAACACCACTACAAACCGGAATCCATATCAGAAATGTAATTTTTTTACCTGACAAGTCAATCGGAAATCCCCATTTTCTAAAGGGATTTACGTAGTAGCTTGTGAAAGTGAAACTTGTACTCTATCTTTGCATCATCTTGATTTACTGCAGTCAGAGAAATTACTTGAGCTGCTGACATTGCTAAGCAAATTGTACAAACTCAAAATCCAAAACAAGGGCAGGTGTAATTAAAGGTAAATAGTATAAATATTTTTTTAGTCATATTTAAAAACATTAAACTTTGTTTACTTTTTTAATCTTAAAGGGTTAAAATTTATTTTAAAAACTGAATGAAATCGTCTCAATTTAAGTATGGTGTAAAAAAGTATCAGTTTAAAAGTGTTGGGGACATCAGAGAGTATTTAATATAGTTCATGGGCGTGAAAAAAAAGTGTGCAGTGACGCATCATTGCGGGGGGGGGGGGCAAAAATTTGAATTAATAAAGTTGAATTCATGTTTTGTCAAGTAACTTAAGTAGATGGGAAGTTCACGCATTGCCGTCGCCAATGTTTGGCGGGCCATAACAAGTATTTCTTATTTTGAAATACATCCTAGACGAATTTGTCATTTCTGATTCCGATAGACTACGTTGCTGCAACCAAGTACTGGCATATGTGCAACGATTATGGAAACGATGTGGCAATCTTAACGGCTCCAGCGGGTGCCAGGGCAGCCTTGAAACTCTCGATTGATGTCGAGTCCACTGTGGTATTGACCAGTTTGTTCCAAGCAATTATTGTTCGAACGAAGAATGACTGTTTATATTAAGGTTTGTTACAGTGAAGCATTTACTATTGTTCCGGATGTAACTTCTAATTGAGTTGTCAGAGGTGAAGTCAGTGGTATTTGAACGTTTGGCTCTGATTAAGGGATCAGGCTTCTGTGGGGTTAGATATGATTGAACGTTTGGCTCTGATTAAGGGATCAGGCTTCTGTGGGGTTAGATATGATTGAACGTTTGGCTCTGATTAAGGGATCAGGCTTCTGTGGGGTGATATGATTGAACGTTTGGCTCTGATTAAGGGATCAGGCTTCTGTGGGGTGAGATATGATTGAACGTTTGGCTCTGATTAAGGGATCAGGCTTCTGTGGGGTGAGATATGATTGAACGTTTGGCTCTGATTAAGGGATCAGGCTTCTGTGGGGTGAGATATGTGTTGGATGGAATTGCCGGCACTAACGCCGTGACCTCTTTATAGAGACATGTTAGTCGGAGCTTGTATCGTCTCTCTTTGAGGAAGGGGGTGTCTATCTTTATAATAGGTTAGTGACGAAGCCAGGTGTGCTGGATTTGTAGTCAATTGCGATGTAGCACACTGTGTTACGTTGTATTCGCTCCGTCTTGTCCACGTCTTGCTTTAGGCATGGGTCCCAGATGATCGCGCCATATTCTAGGAGCGGACGGACGAGTGCGAGATAGCCATTTCATTTGCAAGGATGTTGGGCAGTGGCGAACATTTCTTCGAATGAAATCAAGTGTGGAGTTTTTTGAAATTTTAGTTTTATGGGGTGACCATGTTAGATTATTAGAGAAGAGAATTCAAAGGTATGGAATATTTGATACTTGTTGAAGAATGGTCTTGTTTACAGAGCACATATAAGGTTTATGCTTGTTTCTTGAGATGCTTATTGTGTAGCATTTGGTTCAGTTAAATGTCATGCCCCATTTGTCCACCCATTTAATAAGGCACTTCAAATCTGCTTGGAGGTTGTTGTGGTCATTGTAGCCATTTATCTCTCTGTAGACAAGACAGCCATCTTCAAACAGCCTCACTTGAGATTTTATAGTATAATGGAGGTCGTTTATGTGACAGACAAAGATAAGGGGGCCCAGCACTGCACCCCGAGGAACTCCTGAGCCTCCAGTGGCTTTTCGTGATAGGACGCCATCCATTTTGGTTTTTAAAAAAAATCATAAATCACTCAGCGCATTTGCTGTTATTTCAAATCAAAGCCACTCTTGACATAAGTAGCAGTTTTCATCTACTTGGGGCTTGTCATTGGACCACCTGATATCTGCTCTAAAAAGATTGCCAGCAGCTTCAGCTTTCTCAGGTTGCAAAGGATTAAAGTTAAAGTTTCTCAGATTTCTTTGACTCTTAATAGTTTATCAACTGTGATTTTTGGACCTTCAACTGCTATTCCCACATTTATTTCGTAACCATCAGTGATCCCATACAATTAACTTAGTTATTGCATTAATCACGTTGGAAAACGTTACTTATATCTCGCACATTTAAAAAATAATTGACTTGGACATCCCTGCCCTGATTAAAACATAATCAAAGCGTTGATTTAAGCCAGCGATAATGGCTTTACCTTTACGTCCGCCTCAGTTTCTGTCTAACCCCTTTTCCGGGACAAACTAACCTGTCTAACCAACCCTTTTCCGGGACAAACTAACCTGTCTAACCAACCCTTTTCCGGGACAAACTAACCTGTCTAACCAACCCTTTTCCGGGACAAACTAACCTGCCCTTTTCCGGGACAAACTAACCTGTCTAACCAACCCTTTTCCGGGACAAACTAACCTGTCTAACCAACCCTTTTCCGGGACAAACTAACCTGTCTAACCAACCCTTTTCCGGGACAAACTAACCTGTCTAACCAACCCTTTTCCGGGACAAACTAACCTGTCTAACCAACCCTTTTCCGGGACAAACTAACCTGTCTAACCAACCCTTTTCCGGGACAAACTAACCTGCCCCATCGACCTCTCAGACTCTTTGGTCAGTGTTACTGCCAATAAAAATTTAAAGGTAACTATAAGATTGGCATAGTCATTGTCACGGTTACATTAAATAACCACTTTACACGTTGGGGATTCTTGATTATACAATTAGGTTCTGTTAGATCTGATGCTTGTTTGCAATAGATTTTTTTAAATGAACAAGCTTCAATGAATATTTCTGCAGACGTTCTAATGCTTATATTACTGGTAACAGTGTGATGCTTAATGAAAAGATAACTTATAACTTAGTTATTGCATCGGATCACATGTGACAGGCATGAACAGACTGCAGCACCAGGCCTCGGTCACAGTTCCCTTTTCAGAGTTATTAATTAGCTCAGTGCAGTAGACAAGAAAGAGACAGTTTTAACCCTAGGCCGGCAAAAGTTTAATCAATATAAAGGTAACCTTCATTGCCGGAGGTGTTCATTGTTCATTATAGTTACTCATGAAAGGTAGCTAATAATTTGCTGCTTTTATTCAAAGCGAGGGATGGCATACCTATACTATTATTTTCAACTTTAAAATGTCTGTATCTCTCTCTCTCTCTCTCTCTCTCTATATATATATATACATATATATATATATATATATATATCTTTGATAAGAAGCAACCATGTCCAATGTCCACTGCACAGTACTTTATTATATATAATAAATAAATCACACTATTTCTAGACATCGGAACAATTTTAAAACAATTATAGTTGCAATACAAACACTATATAAACCAATTCAATAATTTATCTACTCTCAATTCAGAAAATCCATCAGAAAAATCCATTTTGTCTTCCTCTCACATCAAAGTTATCTCGTTCACTCCTGCTTGAAAAACATCATTACTCTTTCCGCTCCAAAAACTAGTTCTTTATTTCTTGTCTTATTCATTCTTCGATATCAAATAACTACACCATTGTGACTTGAGAATGACTGTTAGCGTCATTGGAAAAGTCATTGTCAAATCCATAAATAACATCTTCTTTTACAATATATATATACATTATATATATATATATATATATAAATAATCTCTCTATGTATGCATGTCCCGAATGCGCTCCAATTCCATTTATCCGATTGTGATAAAACTTTTGTGAGCACTGCGCCAGCCCGCAAAAGTTTCTGAAGTATTACAACCGTTTTAAAATATTCCGTAGTGAGCCAGGGACCCTAAATGCGTTTTTTCTTATATGAACTATTTCAATATAATTTCTAAATGCGTTGCTATACCATTTATCTGATTCCAATAAAAACTTTGATGAGTTGTGTGCACGCCCGCAGATGTTTCTAAATTATTACACACATTTTTACTTTTTTACGTTTTGGGACTGGGGGGCCATAAATTGTTTTGTTTTTTAATTCTTATATGACTTATGTACATATTATTCCAAAGAGAGCTATTGCATGGTTGGATGACATTTAATCAAATACAAAGAGTGTCATTTAGTTTCTGTATGACATAATAAGTACGTTTCTGAATAAGTAAATCCATTTTTAAATATTCCGTTTCGGTCCGGGGAGGGGGGGGGGGCTAAATTCGTTTCATTAATTTTGGAGGTATATAACTACCATTTCAAACATAGCTATCAACACAATCAATTTCGGTGTCCTTGAACAAATGTCTACTGAAAAAAATGTTTCTGTATGACATAATAAGTACGTTTCTGAATAAGTAAATCCATTTTTAAATATTCCGTTTCGGTCCGGGGAGGGGGGGGGGGG